CTTCAAAGATGCTCCCTCTTTAATTCAGGTGGCTCCATTGGTTTCTCAGAGCCCCCGTCTCATTAGCTTGGTATGGCTATAGAATTGGGTGGCAAGTTGAAATGTTTGGGTGTAAAGCCCTGTGCTCTGCTATTCCGCTGACCCTCGCGTGCTACGTTTAGACTGCAGAACAGCCTTGCGTTTGCAATTGATTCTAGGAATCAGGGTTACGTCTCTCTTTCTCAACTTTCCCAGGATGTGGGGCTGTCAACTGAGGCACTTGCTGTGCAGCTTCCACCACCAGCTGAAGAAAGGTTTCAGGATTCTTCCAGCTTCGACCCACTGGCATCACACGGTCCCCACATCACCAAACTGTGCCTGGAAGTTAAAAGATGGTCACCTAGGTAAGAACTGGACCTTGAAGGCTTCAAAAGACCCGGAGAGATGGGTATAGGTAGGAGTGCATCTGTGCATCATGGAGGGAAATGTTTTGGCTCTGGATGCCAGCCACCTGGTCATGCCCTTTTCCAAAGTGCTGCATTCCATTCCTTCTCCTTTCTAGCCTTCTTTGGCCACTCCTTGAACGTTATTAAGCATCCCATCCCCATTCCAACATTATCATGGAAGGGAGGGAGGGAGGGAGGAGGCAGCCAGGCAGGCACTGCAAATCTTGAGATCACCTTCTCTCCAAATTTTCTCATTATGTCTCTTGCACGTGAATGATGGCATCTTGGCTTTATAAATATCCACACTTGTGTTATAACTATGCACTCAATGCTTACGCAGCTGGCTTAGTAGGCAGGCAAAGGGGAAGTTTATAAGAACCCAAGAAGTTAGGCTGAGTCACAACCTATATAGAGTTTTTCTTCCAGTGTTTCTTAGTCAAATACTGTCGGGTCTTCCTGTCAAGGTCAGGATTAGACCAGCTCCCTGTCTGTTAGCCTTCCACAGCAGGAAAAAACATTTTTATTTAATCAGGCTTTTGGTGCCTAAGCAAGCAAGTTTTCACTGCTGAGTCAGTGGACAACTGGCAGTTATTGATTTTTAACATATTTTTAATGGCGTTTTTAATTCTATTTTTAACAGGTTATTTTTTAAAGCCTTTGAGTCAGTCTTGACTCCTGGCGACTGCCTGGACTTGTCCCTTGGCAAGATTTTTAGAAGTGGCTGGTCCTTGCCTTCTCCTTCCTACAACAGAGAGAGAGTCTGGCCTAAAGTCACCCAGCTGGCTTTCATGCCTAAGGCAGGACCGTAACTCACCACGGTCTTCCGGTTCCTAGTCCGTGCCTTTGACCGCTACTTCAAACTGGCTCTCTAAGAGTGATTTTAGTTGCTTTTTATTGTTCCTGTCAGCTGTCTTGAGTGAAACATTAACCAAGTGTGAATGCAGTTTGGTAACGATATGTAAAACAGGGCGGTTTGTTTCCAGAATATTCCACTAGTTTCCCAGAAAAAGCCAATCTGAGTGTTCCAGGTGTGGTTCACACCCTTTTGGAAGTTTATCTGCTGATATTGGGACCTGTGTTCCCCAACAAGTTGCCCTGATGGTAAAATATGCCCATAGCTTAAGGGGAAGTAGAGAGCTTTCTCTTTGTTATTCATTTTGACCAAGAGAAGGATGTTCTTTTCCTAGAGCTGAAATACAGGGACACTCTCATGCGCTTCGATTACATTTGGCTTCGGGACCACTGCCGCTCACCATCTTGCTACAACAGCAAGACCAACCAACGCAGTCTGGACACGGCCAGTGTGGATCTCACGGTCAAGCCGCAGGCTGTGCGAGTCGATGAGACGACTCTCTTCCTCACCTGTGAGTTTCTGTTTCTTGGTGTCTCCAAGAGTGGGAGATGGTTATGAAGATTGCTTCTTTCTGAAATTGGGGTGGAAAAGTTTGTCTCTGAGCTCCTGGGAAGGAGCCCCACCATCATGTTTCGGAGTAGAAAAATGCAAGGGCTGTAGATACAGAAATGCGGTGGCCTCAGCTACCATCACACCCTGTTGACTTTTCTTAGGTGTTGGCTCCATCTTGTTTCAGTGTTCTTCAAGTGACACACATTGTTGCCCATCTGTCCTCTTTTTCCTTCACAACCATCTTGCAAGGTGAGGCAGTAGTGATTTGCCCACATCTGCCCAGGTTGCTGTGTCGTCAGCAACCTCCTCTGTGACTCACAGTTGTCCACCAACTTATCGAATTGTATCTTTCCATCAAAACATCCATTAGCCCCAAATTTGCACTTTCCAAGGTCCCAAATGTAGTTAAAGCAGAATTGCAGAAACACCAAGCAGGGACAGATTTTATTGACCCTATGGGCTTAATTGACTTTCTTAACTTTGTGGAAACCTCTAGAAAATGTAAAAAGTGAACATGGCAAAACTTAAGCAAGACATATCTTTTCAAGATCTCCCATTCTCGGAAGACCCCTAGCAAAAGTCCTCTACGTGCAGTTTTTATGTCTAAAACAATGGGACAGAACAGTTGCTTTTTCCAGGCTGGGTGCCCATACAGAGTTCTGGAGATTGTAATTCCAGTATATCTGGAGTTCTCCACCTTGGGAAAAAGCTGGAAGAGAGGGTCTCAACAAACAGGGCAATGTCTCCTGAAGGAGGTACAAAAATGTCACTGGGGAATCCAGGCTTCTCTCTTGACTAAGTGTGGTTTTGAAATCCAAGAGTTTGCGAGGGTCAAGTGGCCTCTGGCTGGGAACTGTCACACAGTGCTTCAAATCCACCCTGGGCTCTGTGTGTGTGTGTGTATTTAACAAAAGTAAAGCTGTTGGAACATTCAGATCTGCTTGGACTTTTTGTTCAGGATGAAAGTAGAGAAAAAAATACTTTAATTGGTGAATAGTTTAGAGAAGGAATTCTTTCTTCTCTTCTCATGGGTTCTTTTCTTCCTTCTTTGGTCGTTCCATTGATCCTGAACTCAGTAGTTCGTTTAGGGCCACACGCACCCCACAAAGCAGATCTTTTGCAATCCCAGAGCTCTTGGCTGGATGGGGACAAGTATTTTAGCTGCTTTGGAGGGCCTTGGAGAAGTTCAGGGGACACATTGCACCCATTAAACCCCCATCCCCTACCTAAAGAATTGAGACCTCATCTTGCCCATTTTTGAAGGCCATTCATGACAAATCTTAGTGCAGAAATTACCTATTCCTAGTTCAACAGCACTTTTCCTGATTGTTCTTTTTTCCTTGCATAGCAGAGATAAATATCGGTGACATTCCAGATGTTGTTGAACTACAATTCCCAGTATCCTTAGGAAGCATGGTCAGTGTTAAGGGATGCTGGGTGTTGTAGGTCATCGATATCTGGAGGGCCACAGGTTGTCTACTAATTTAATATTGACTTGCCAGATACACTGTCCCATTTCAGACTGAAGCTCTGCTAAAGTACTGTTAAAGTCAGGATGATGGAAGCGCCTCCTAAAGAGGTTCACCTGGTTCCATCAATGCTGGCCATATGGCAAGCAGGGCAGACTTGGTTATTTCAGAGAGCCTTGGGGGAAAACACTAACATCGGTTGGTTTATGCCAGGAAAGCTGTGTTGTGCTATTTTGGTTTGGTGTTCTTTAATAAGATTATATATTTTAACTAATTAATCTGGTCCTGTCAAAGCTGACATTTTCCAGGTGTGTTGAAATATCCATGTCAGGAATTCTTAGCTAGCATAGTCAACCAAATTGGGGAAAGTTGCCTTGGACTGATTTATTATACACCACTAACAAATATGTACCCTTGGAAATAACTGAAGAAACAACCATCAGAATCTTTGGCTGGGTTCATACCCTGTGTTAAGCCATAGTTTGTCCTAACCATAGTTTTTTAATAAGCCCAAAGTGTTTGTTACACATGTGCTAACCTAGTTTACAAGAAGCAACACCAAACAACTTGAGAACTTAGTGATGCAACACCCATGTTTTGAAGAACGTCCCCATAATCTTGTCTGTCTCCCATCGCCATCAGGGCCAGATGGCCACGTGACCAAGTATGGTCTGGAATGGCTGCTGAGAAACAGCTACGAGGGACAGAAGCAGCAAGTCATGCAGCCACGTATCCTTTGGAATGCCCAGATTTACCAGGATGCTCAAGTGCCTTCTGTGGACTACCAGAGTTTCTTGGAAACCAACGAGGGACTGAAAGAATTCCTGCAGAATTTCCTGCTGTATGGGATTGCTTTTGTAGAAAACGTTCCCCCAACCAAAGAAGACACTGAGATCTTAGCAGAGAGGATCAGCTTGATCAGGTAACTATGGACCATTTGGGGAAGCCTTACCCTTTGCTTTGCTGCTTTACCTTTTTATTTGAGATGGTTTCTCCTAGATTAAGGTGGTCAATTACTAGTTTAAGATTGTGAATTACAGGTAGTCCTCACTTAACGATCACTTGTTCAGCGACTGTTCAAAGTTACAGTGGCACTGAACAAGGAGACTTATGACCAGTCCTCGTAATTGCAGCCGTCATAGCATCCCCACAGTCATATGATTGCGATTCAGGTGCTTGACAACTGGCTTGCAGTTACAACTGTCACAGCGTCCTGCGGTCATGTGATCGCCATTTGTGACCTTCCCTGCCAGTTTCTGACAAGCAAAGTCAATGGGGAGGAGGTCGAAAATGGCAATCACGTGACGTCACACTTAACGGCTACACGGGACTTGCTTAACGACCACAACCGGAACTGCTGCAACTGCCATTGTAAGACAGTGTGGTCACGTGACATCACGGTTTACAACTGCATCACTTAGCGACAGAGTTGCCAGTTCCAATTACTGTCATTAAGTGAGGACTACCTGTATTACTGTCGTATAAATTCACTGAAAAGTAAGCCCATACAGTCTTCTCCGTAACAAAGAACTCATTGTACAATTTCAAAACTGTGTATTTAGAAAGGAGCCCATTGCAAAATGATTGGATCTGGAAAACCGGGTGCTGATCTTATTGGTTTGATATGGAAAAGGAAAAATAGATGCCAGTCGTTGGGGGTTTTTAAAAGTCCTGTTTTAAACAAAGTCCATGTGTGAGTTTTTCTATCAATATTAAGGAACCACTGCCCATCTGCTTTAATGTCGATAAAGATGTGCAGATTTAGAGCAATATGTCAGGTTGGAAATGTCCTCGAGATATATTTCCCAGTGTATGTTTTCTAGGAATTTATAGGAATTATTATTGTTGGTTGCACAGTCAGCCAGATGTTTAGACTGGATTTGGCATTTTTATCCACCCATCAAGTCCTTCCCAAGGACCTGGGATAGGCAGATGTTGTTGTTTGATGGTGTTAAAGGTATCGTCGCAGGATATAAGCTGTTCCAAGTAAAGTTATCTTTTGCAATCGACTGATGGTGATTTTGTCAATGCCGATGGTCTTCAAGTGGTGCTCCAGATGTTTTGGGATTGCACCCAAGGCACCTATTACTATTGGTACTGTCTTTTGCTTTCTTTTGCCACAGTCGTTCTACTTCTATTTGCAGGGAATTATTATTGTTGGTTGCACAGTCAGCCAGATGTTTAGACTGGATTTGGCATTTTTATCCACCCATCAAGTCCTTCCCAAGGACCTGGGATAGGCAGATGTTGTTGTTTGATGGTGTTAAAGGTATCGTCGCAGGATATAAGCTGTTCCAAGTAAAGTTATCTTTTGCAATCGACTGATGGTGATTTTGTCAATGCCGATGGTCTTCAAGTGGTGCTCCAGATGTTTTGGGATTGCACCCAAGGCACCTATTACTATTGGTACTGTCTTTTGCTTTCTTTTGCCACAGTCGTTCTACTTCTATTTGCAGGTCTTTGTATTTTGTGATTTTCTCCAGTTCTTTCTTTTCTGTTCTGCTGTCTCCAGGTATTGCAATGTCCACTATCCAGACTTTTGTGTCATTATTATTATTTTGCAAATTTGCACCAAAGTCATCTATTTCCAGCACTGATTGCCTGGTGCCTGGGTTACTGCGAATTTTTTATTATACTCTAAAAAGGTTTCTTCGAAAGTATAAAAACGATAGGTAGAAAAATATTTAGGTGGCGTTTATAGCTTGGTTTGAAGAGAGTCTGAAATGTTGGCAGGGGAGTAGGGGAGAAAGCTGATTCTATATTTTCTTTTATACATCTCTCTGTAACGCTGCAACCTGAAGGAAGCCAGCCTAAAGCCACATCTGCTATCTTTATAGCATGGCTGCACAATAATGTTTGGGTCATGAGCCACAGATAGGTCTTGTGGTGGTATGTCTTAGGAGGACCTCCGTGGATGTGCCATGGAGAACTTTGGCAGGTTCAAAGCAACGGATAGGCACGTGTGGGACAAAACAAGTCCTCTATTGATCCTTTTCCACATTTTCCCATATACCCTGTTTATTTAATTTTAACTTCGTTGGGACTCACTAAGCACAGTGTTAGTTTGTGTTGCAGCCTGAGATCATCAGTGAAGGTTAGTGGACCATGGAACGCTCTAAGAATCCGCAGAGGTGGTTGGGCTGTTCAAAAGCTGGAGGGGAGAGTGATCCCATGCTTCATGGAAATGCAGGAAATGGCCCATTTCAAGTTCAGATGATTGTCTGTGTTAAGTGACAGCTGGTCTCCAAGGTCTCAGGTAGAGAGAAAGTACTTCCCTATCAACTTTTTTTGGAGCGTTTTGATGGAGGTATTAGATACTGAACCTGGGACCATATGCACATCAAGCACATTGGGCTATGACTTCGTCCCCTAATATTATATCTGTCCCCATCAATTGCTTCTGGATTCTCTTTCTGAATTACGACCATGCTCTTTCCTCGGCTCAAGAAAATGCCAGATTCAGTTTTTCTTAAGATACTGAGGTCTACCATTTGCCAGCTATTAATGTGCAGATCCAGCAAAACTCTTGTCTTTTTCTGAAAGACCATAAAAGATCTTGAGCAAAAAAAAAAAAAAAAAGGAGGAGCAAGATATTTTGGCAGGCTGGGAATGTTTTAATGTTTGGGGCACGCAATATTTCCTGTTTTGATAGAGCAGGTTGAGAGGGCAGCCTTGGTCCTGGGAGATCTGAAGATCAAAACAGTCCTTCCAGCCCCCTGAGGAAAGGGCAAAGAAACACATCTCACATCTAATTAAAATTAAATTGCCAGGCTGACCTTAAGTTGACCTGGAGTCTTAAGAAAAAGGGACTTGCAACGGTTCCCTGCTTCTTTCTTCTTTGCCCCTCCTTCTCTGCCCAGATTGAAGCACTTAGACTAAATCAGTTCAGAACAGCCTTTTATATCTGGGGATTTCCAGAATTCATCACGCTGGCATCAGATACAGATGTCTGCTTCATCAAGTTCATGACTGTTTTCTGGTCAAATTTGTCTCAGTCTATTCCAGCGTCAGTACATTTCATTATACTTCTGTGAGATGTACAGCTTACACCTGATTTTTTCAAAGATTGCCACTTGCATTTGGGTGAAAAACGGCACAGGTTTGCATAAAATGTACATGTGGTGGGTTAGTAAAAAAATCATTTAAAGAGCAGTAGATTAGATCTCTACATAATAGGGGAAACAACAACCAGGTGTCTCAACCTACCTTCTCAGTCCTATTTATTGAGGAGCAATTATAAGGTCAGGTGTTGCATTATGGATGTGTAACTTGCTATAAGCCATTCAGAGTAATGACACAAACCCCTGATCATTAATAAATGCAATTAAAGATATTCATCTTTACTTACAACAGGACCTCGCACTTACGACCATCACAGTGCCTCTGTGGTCACATGACTGCGATCCAGGCACTTGGCAACCAGCTCGCACTTACGATGGTTGCAGCATCCTGGGGTCATGTGATCACCATTTGTGACCTTCCCAGCTGGCTTCAGGCAATTAAAAATATTCATCTTTAATTCTCTGTAATTCTGTTGGTGCAACTCCACCCTTAAGGATTTAAACACAGCTGGAATCATTCCTGCCCAAATAAGCAAAAGCTCCAGGTTTCCAGATGTTACTGGGAATTGTGAGCTCCAGTCGTGTCCCTTACTTGTTCATAAGGACAACTATACCTTTGATCTTATCCAGAAGATCTACATCTGTAGGAAGAGTTGATGTCAACTCAATGTTGGTTCTCTCTCTTTGTTTCTTTTTGTCTCTATCTTTCACTTTCTTGTTCTCTCCTCTTCTAGGGAAACAATTTATGGCAGGATGTGGTATTTCACCTCTGACTTCTCCCGAGGAGACACAGCTTATACCAAACTGGCTTTAGATCGTCATACAGATACCACCTACTTCCAGGAACCTTGTGGGTATGGGCCAATAGCCAAAGAGGCAGCACACCATAAATAAGATGATGGTAAACTGGTGTGGGCCATTCTGACACTGTTTCTCAATTGAAACTATCTCTTCTAACCTCAGAAAAGATGAATTGCACTGGAGGTGTTGGGATAGTTCAACCTCAGAATGATTTTGCATATCTCAAACGGAATCATATGAGTACAATTTATTTTGCTCAATACATATGGAGGGGGTGACTAAATCTAGTTATATGATAAAATAATGTTATAGAATTAACCTTTGTAGGGAGCAAGGAGGATGACCTTGATGGAGATGGGCAAGATCCATTACCAAAGCAACAAGGGGAAAAAGCATATCTTAAGACTAAAACAGGCAGAAAATAGGTAGACACCTTCCTAATTCACATGAGTATAAGAAGGGGGGGAGGTCCAGCACAATCAGACTTGCAAGATTGTTGTCAGCCCCAACATGTAGACCAGACCAGGAAATCAACTTCACAAGAAGGCCATGACTACTTTTATTGAGAGTGGCTACAATAACAAAATCTTGCAAGTCTCATTGTTTTAGAATGACATCAGTCAGATAATACACATTCCTGCCCTTGTTGCCCATGACAGCAGTTTGATGTTTTTCTTATAATATTATATACATTTCAGTGTTGGACTTCATCCTGATGCAGCTGCACTAGAGAATGGAATTGAACGCATTCAGCTTAGGTGATTCCAGTTGGCTCTAACAACACTTTGTAATGCTTTCATATTCGACCATTGAGCAAGGTTTAAGGGAGGATGAGTATGATGTAGAGAAGAACCCAAAGTTTAACATATCACTGGAGAAAAGTAAAGCAAACTGAAAAGGCCATAGTTTACTTCCTGACATTCAAAATATTAAGATACAGGTAGTCCTTGTTTAACAACCATTCATTTAGCAACCATTTGAAGTTATGACAGTGCTAAAAGCTACTTACAACAGGTCCTCACATTTATGACCGTCATAGTGCCTCTGTGGTCACATGATCATGATCTAGGCACTTGGCAGTCAGCTCACACTTACGATGGTTGCAGCATCCTGGGGTCATGTGATCGCCATTTGCGACCTTCCCAGCTGGCTTCGGGCAAGCAAAGTCAATGGGGAACTGTGTGATTCACTTGATGGCTATCGCAAAAAATGTAAAATTGGGGGCAGTCATGCTTAATAACTGCCCTGCTTAACAATGAATTTTCCGGTCCCTATTATGGTCGTTAAGCAAAGACTACCTGTATTCAGAATATTATGGGGGCAAACAGGCTAAAGTTCAACCCTAGTAAGACTGAGTGCTGTAGATTTTAGGACCACCTGGGTTCAAGGAATTTCTATCTTTGGTTCTGGGTGAGGTTGTAAAACCCTAGACAGACCCGATATGCAACTTGGGGGTCCTCTTGGACTTCCAGGTCCTGCTTGAAGAGCTACAGCACCTTCTCTGATTACTTCTGCCCATCTGATCAGATCTAGCAGGATGGGCATGCTCCGAGTCCCCTCATTTAAGCATCTGGTGGGACTCAGGAGGTACACCTTCTCTGTCACTTCACTTGCCCTATGGAACAGCATTTCCTCCCCCTCCACTCCCTCCCCCACCCCAAGATTTGGATCCCACCTACCTTTCAGAAGGCTTTTAAGACCTGATCTTTCCTCCCAGCAATGGGTCACAAGGTTTTATGCTCGTCTTGATTATTTTGGGATTGAGGAGTGGGGGGGGGTGAGGTCAGTGAAGTTGCCTTGGGGGCAGTTTTATTATTTTTAATGTGTTTTGGTTATGATGTGCTGTTTTTATTTGTGTATACCTCCTTGAGTTGCATGTTGATTGGCCAGCCATATAATTTATTAATGTAATACATTAATAGTTTGCATGAAAAACAAGCTAAAAAAGAAACCAAAAATGGCTCTAAACTACAGCGCCCAGTCCCCATAACGCAGAGTCCAGGATGCTGGGAATTGCAGCAATGGTGGGATTGGATAGGAACAGGGAGTCTCAGGTTCAAGTCCACTCCCAGCCATGGAATTTTATGGGATGACTTTAGGCCAGTCACCACTCTACCTTGTAGGGTTTTTATGGGGAAAAAATAGAGGAGGGAGTGTTACATATACCATCTTGAGCTTCTGAATGAAAGGCTGGATGAAATCTAAAAATAGTAACAAGAACCTCTGGGAGGGTTGCAGGTTTCCCCGTTGAGTAGAGAGGCCATCAGCCTAACATTTCAGGGCTGCTCTTCTAGAATACTAAAAAAGGCTCTTTTGAGCAGTTTAGTCCCTTCTGGTTTCTGCCCCTTCAACTTGGCTTCCATTCCTACAGCTGACTGAGTGCTTCCTCTCAGCATCCAGGTATTCCATTGCCTCCGGCATGAAGGGACAGGGGGCCGGACGCTGCTAGTGGATGGTTTCTATGCAGCAGAACAGGTGCTACAGCGAGCCCCAGATGACTTTGAACTTCTCACGAAGGTGCCACTGAAGCACGAATACATTGAGACCATGGGAGGCTGCCACAACCACATGATTGGGGTTGGGCCTGTCTTGAATATCTATCCTTGGAACAAGGAGCTCTACCTGATCAGGTGAGGGGGATGGCCTTCTACTAAGGCTTGGCTTCATATGGACATCTCCCGTTAAGCCATAACATGATCTGCTTGTTCCGGGCTCAGCCTATGATGTGAATCCAGCTCTTGTAGTCTGTTAAGCATGGTTTATGGATTGCTACCTTCGAACCTAGCAGTGGCTTATTCCACCACCCAGATTAAAATCCAAGAGGAGCTAACTGTAATGTACAAAACCAGCTTGATTGTGGTTGGCCAATGATTACTGAAGTTACTTCTGTGTAAGGGTTCAACAGTGGGTAGTCCTAACTAGGAGGGATCCTTCCAACCAAATGTGTTTGACTAGTCTTCCATTTCTTTTTCAGGTACAATAATTATGACCGAGCTGTCATTAATACAGTGCCTTATGACACTGTGCACCGTTGGTACATTGCACACCGCACACTCACCACTGAGCTGCGGAGGCCCGAGAACGAGCTCTGGGTCAAGCTGAAACCAGGCAAAGTAAGTTAGAAGGTGGCTTGTGGGAATGGCTGGCTAAGACAGGAGGCTTTATAATGTCAGGCAGTGGAATGTTGCATGGATGAATTTCTCACTGTTCCAATCCAACTTCATCCTATCCCTCTGCAGGAAGACCAGGTTCTTCTCCTCTTACTTATCCTTGAGATGAGTAAGAGGATACATAGAATGCTTCCAGGCCTTTATTGTGGAAAGATTTCCTTTCATGCTACCTTTTCCCCTAAAATGTTCCATTTCCATTCATTGCCACTTCAGCAGGCAGCAAATTTGTTCATTTCCCACTATAGAATCCAGGATACAGGCTCACAGGCAGAAATGCTCGAAAATTAGATAATTAGTCCTGAGAAAGCCTGGTCTTTCCTTTCAGGCCAGGGGTACATAATGGAAGACCTCATCCCTTAAAACTTTGAAGGTGGACCCTACCGCTTCAGCAGAAGTTACTGCCAAATTGCAGAGTTTAACGTGATTGAGGAAGGAAAACTTTAAGTTCACAGGCAGAAATCATGTTAAGCATGTGGGGGTCTATATAACCTTTTTGAACATATATATAGAAAATTCAGTTGTCAGCTCACTTACTTTTAGGGGTTTGGTTCACATAGGATACTCAAAAACCAAGGGCACTTCCCAAACACTAGGTTCTTACCTGCTATAGCACTCCTGGGCTACATAAATCATTTGGTTGTGTAAAGCAACTACACAACCCTCATTCCCTTCTCATTCATAAAAGCAGAGGTGCAAAAAGAGAAGCCCAGTGGCCTCAAACAACCTGCCACCCATCTCTTTTACACCACTCCTCCCACGTGGGTGTCTCCAAGTGTTTGCATGTTGTATCTTTCAGGGGAGCAAGGAGCAAAATGGGTATATTCAGCCTTGCGTATGCCTCAAATGCCCATTGTGCCCCTTAAATCTCCTGCCCCCCCCCCCCCAAAACAGGTTCTGACCCTGCTTGCTTTTGGAGTGCAGTCCTCAATGTACCATGTGCCCTTGAGCTCATGAAAGGTGCACACTCCTGCTTAAGAATTGGTGCCAGACTACTAAGATCTTTCCTAGATCCCAACAACAAAACCAGAACTTGAAAGTGTGTTATATTATGGGCTACTTCACTTTGCTTCTTTTCATCCCATCTGTAGGCCCTCTTTGTGGACAATTGGCGAGTGTTGCATGGCCGAGAGTCTTTCACAGGATACCGTCAGCTCTGCGGTTGCTACCTCACAAGAGATGATGTTCTAAACACTGCCCGTTTCCTTGGACTTCAAGCCTAATGTGGCTTGGGCTGCTGATGGTGGGGAACTGCTGATTCAGGAATGGGGAGAAAAAAGTGTATACCTCACATACCTGGCCTCCTGTCACAAGAGAGAGGAGAGGTCTTCCCAGCATTACTTGATAGTCAAACAAATAGTAACGTCTGCTGCCTTTTTTTCACTCTCCCCATTCTAGGTTCCCTGACTGGCTTTCCTTGATTTCCAAAGCCCAGCCAATTGGCTCAACTCGGGTCAGATGGAATCGGGAGCCATGTAGAGGTCTGCTGTGACACTAAAGGTGCTACGTCTTGTGCCTTTTGCTATTGAAAGCAGTACTGTCCTCTTTTAGGAGACCTTCCGTGTACAAAAATGTCAAGGTTTTACTGGACATATGTTCTTGGAAATTGGTAGAGTCTCAAAGAGCCAATTAATCTGCAAGACATGATTGTTGTTGTTCCAGCCTTTTGAGACTTCCAAAGTACACGGGTACCCAATGCTTGAAGGTTAAGCCTCTCCATGCCTCTTCTCTTTGCTGCCTGCTGGTGATGTTAAACTTGCCATGTGATGGGAAAGTTGCTTCAGAAAGCTTTAGAGCAGGAGGAGGGAAGAACACACTCAGATCTGGGGAGAGAAGACAACAAAGTCCTTATTTCCCAGCACTGTCAAAAAATAACACTGATAACTGTACAACTAAAGCACTGCATTTTCTGTTCAGCTTCCTCTGTTGTACACTCTTGATCTTGATCGTTACTTCAACCTTCTCCAGAATTGCCTTGCTGCCCTTTCTGTGTTGGGAGGAAGCAGTCTCTGTGGGGTTTTTTCCCACCTGGCGTTTCCTTGCTTTCTGCTCCTTCCTTTGAAGGACCTCTCTTTATTGACGATGAGAGGCTGTATCTCCCAGGACTTGGAAGCTGAAGCTGCCAAACCTTGTCCTAAACTAAAGCTCAAACAGTCGGAAAGAGAGAGAGAGAGAAAAAGAGAGAGAAGGCATTTGATTATTCCTCTTAGCCAGTTCAGTAAAAATAATGGCATGTTTGACCTTGACTCCCCTTCTCAGCAGCACTGTTTCTTCCAGGCCCTTCAGAAGAAAAGCAGGTGGGGCCTTTCTGCTGAAGCTGAGATGATTAGCTCAAAGTTCGGAGTGGAGACACTTTTTCCACTATCTGCTCTTATCACAATACCTTTATGAAAGAGCTCCTTGACTAGGAACTAGGAGTTCTAGAACATTGCTCTTTCTAGAGCTGGGTGATGAACATTAGTTGCCCCCCTGCCATCTCCAGAGACTCCCGATCCTACTGCAACTCTTGACAAGATCCAACAGGGATGTCCAGAGCTACTATAGGAAGCAAAAACTGGCCGCTCTGTTGAAGAACAGCACCTACAAGAAACAGCCAAAGCCACATTTTCCGACCTCAAGCCAAATAGAAATATCTTGCCTTCATTTTGCATTGGACTTGGGGCAACATTTTCATTATTAATAATGAAGGGTGAGGCCCTTCATCAGAACTTGGGATGCAAATTCAGTGGTTGAGTTTGTCTGCCTGGGCCAAACTTCAAAACTAATCTGTGCATGAGTTTAGGAGTGGAAAGGGATGTTTTAACCACAAGCAAAGAGAGGGTCCAGGTAGACATGGTGAAAAATGGAAGAAATCTTCCTTGAAGATTGTCATTGTCAAGCTCAGCCAGCCTTGGTTGAACTCATTGGCTCTTGCTGGAACATTTCTGCTATTTAAGGAAAAGCAACCATTCTTCCTATGTCCAGAGTTGAGTATTTGATCCCATTCAGGTAAACAAGCCTTTTTTTCCCCCCCCCTCCTAGAACTATATTGAACATGCAAAGCTGCCAAGGAGGAAACTAGAAAAGAAACCTTAGAGTTCTTTTATGGCTACCATTTTCCTTCGTCAGTTTTCTGATATTTGTGGCTGTCTTTGTGACCTGAAGGTCTAGAAAGATACAATTTAGCTCTCGTTAAACTGCAAATGCCATGTTTTGAACTACTGTATATCATTTCAAACCTTAAATAGGGAAGCAGGAGAGAGAATGCTTCCCCAAGGAGTCCTACACAACCCCAACCCTACAAAACATCAGCAATTTAGGTCTAGCTGAACTTTCTCCCTGAGATGCTCATTTTCTTCAGGGAATATATTTTAGGTTTGCAGTGAAGCAATATTTATCTCGTGAGCTCCAAGCTGCTGTCCAAAATCCTTTTGCCCAGATAGAGTTTGGCTGCACCTCAGTGAGTTGATGTTCTCTGCAAGAACTAGATTTGTATGTACTTCCCAACTTCCTCACATTTTGTTTTTGATTTCATTTTAACTTGATTGCTTTAGTAGCACTTTTTGCTCTTAACACTCCTAGGAACTCCTTTTAGTCATCGTTCAGTTTTTAGCAGCAGAAGATATTGCCAAGAGCAGTATTTGAGGCCATTTCTAACTGGATTTTCTTAATTATGTATGAGCTTCATGACAGCATAGAATGCATCAAATGTAGAGGTGGTGCAAATATGATCTTTGGGTCAAGGCTACTGGGTCCTATGTCCACAGCCTTACAGCATTTCTTAGCCACTGAGTTTCAGGAATACACCAACTAGCAAGGGTGAAACTTCAGAGAAAGTCTTTGCAAGAAGTGGACCTTGGGTTGTGTTTTCTGTACATTTTGTAAGGAGAGACGTGGCTTTATTATAAGTAGCTATCTGAGCTTCTATTCGTCCTATCCCTCACCTGGCTACTCATTTGTTGCTCTGGGACAAGTCGTTATTGTCACCATTAGCCATCACGCTCTGTAGTTTTTTTCTGATACTCTTCTAATAAAAAAGATCAGTGATATTTCTTTCTGAGAGGAGCAGCTGACTCGCCGCTTCATTTCAGCAAACAGATGGTTTTTTGTGAAGTGTGGCCAGCGTGTTATAGAACGTCGGAATTTCGGGAGCTGCAAGGCCAGTACGTCTGGGAAGCATCAAGTGAAAGATGTTAGTGGAATCCCAATTTGATCATGAGGATCCCATGTAAAAAGATGTCTTGCTGCAATTATTGGGAGGGTCCATTCTTTTTTATACAATATACAATGCTTTAATCCTTCCATCTTTCTAGTTCCCACTCTCCATGGGTCAAAAACGGGCAAATCAATTGCAAGTGAGCCTCAGAATTACTGGACAACGAACACGTGGCTGTCCTCTTGCATTAGTAGAAATGCTCACCAGCAACATCCCTTGGCAGATATCCCAAAGGTTGAACTGCAGTTGGTCTTCAGAACATAGAACTTTTGCATAAAAAAGATAGGAGAATTGTTCTTAAAACACAGACCTGCACCCAAAATGAAGTTGGGAAAACTCCCCACTACTTAATGCAGCAATAAAACCCTTAAAAGCTTATCTTTAGTTCAACAGGAAAATCCTAAATCAAAGAGAACTTTGCACCTTTGCAACACCTTTCCTCCCAAATAGGTGACTGTATCAATTTGACACTGATTACATTCCCTCCAACATTGTCGAAATGACAATCACTAATCTATTTTCCAGCAGCTGAGGGTTCTATGTATCTCACAAAAGATAGAAACAGCTTTGACTTCAGCAGCTGGGCTTATATTTCCAAATAGAGATTTGTTTTTCCTCCCCAGAAGTTCTAGAAAACTCAGAAGTGCAGCCTAAAGACCTAACTCTTTACCTATTAAAGCCTAATTATGTGAATGGAAAGACCTTCTGTCCACTTAAGAACGTTATCTCAATCAGACATAGTTTGAAGATCCCCCTTTTTTGGGGTGGGGGGAGAAATCTAACCAAAATTCCCATTCAATAAAGAGTTCTTAGAAACTAGAACACTTGCAGCTCTCATGGAAAACTTCAGTTGTTCTAATAAAGGCCCTACGAGATTTTGTGGGGGATTTGTAGCTAGTTTGGCTAATTTTGCTTTTTAATTGTTTAAGAGTAACAGCAATTACATCGTAAAAAAACTGCGAGTTACCTAGATCATGCTGTTGAAAACTCTGGGAAACCAGGAACAGATGTGTGTCTGTGTAAGGGTGTTGAATTAAGATTCAAGAAGAAAGATTCAAGAAGAAAATTTGGGTTTCAAATTTGTAAATTCCAAGTGTATGACTTCAGCATCAAGCTTTGCTGGTTGACTTTGGGGGTCGTGTTTAGAAGAATTTGCTACTCCTGGAGTCCAGAGGAGTGTGTCAAGAAAAAGTGGGGTGAACTGAAATCTGAAAAGGTTATATTGGCTTCATTACTCTTGCATTGAAGCCTCGTGGTTAACCTCATCTAACAAAAGAAGACACAAAAAGACTCAGTTTTCTCATGCTACTTTTCTGATCTGGTTCCTTCACTTAACTTCCACACAAGTATGTGGGAGTTATTTTCTTTTCGTTTCTCTCTCTTCTCCTCGCCATACGTGTAGCTCTGATTTGGGCCACTTTCTCACACGTATGAGTCTCCCCAAATTCTTTCTGCTTTGTCAAATTCTTTTTTTAATTGCAAGTATATAAAACTGCCACCATATTCCAAACTAAAGACTTAGGAGACGGACTGGCGTTTGGAGAGGTTCCACAGCTGGTGGATTCTAGGACTTGGTCATCCAAGAGCAGGAAATCTTGAACAGATTAAAACCTCAGTTCTCTACAAATTGCATAATGAAAATACAGAATTTCTTACAAGTGGTGCCTAAATTGGACAACTTGGGAAGAAAATTAGGCAAACTCTTGGCTCTGAGTCATGATAGCTACCTATCTCCAGGAAAGGAGAGGTGCAGATAGGGTGGCACGATTGCCATTGAGTTGGCCACAATGGGAGCAGAATGCAAGGCTGAATAGGGCTTTGGCGGGATTGTGTGTGTGTGTAAATTTATCACATTATACCCACAAGACAACCACAGTGTATTAAAGTTAGGTGTTTAATGCTGCTCATTCACATGCCAAAGTGACATGGATCATTATCAGCTTACTGTTCTGTTACTTCCTCCCAACATTTGTGTGTCTATTTTTTTGAGTTCTCAGAAAATATATGCAGACTGACTAGCCACCCACATCCATTTTAAATTTCCCACAGTGCCCCAATGCAGTATTGTGGGATACTTGAAATGATGGCATATACCAAAGCTGGCCTTCATACCAAGGAGTCTCGCCAAAACATTATGGTCCCCAAACTAGAACTACCCACGGATGCCAAACATGAAGGTTAAGCTGATGCCAGCTTTAACCACAGTTGTTTTCAATAATGCTCGTTCAGCATTTTTTAAAAATAAGAATGGAGCAAGTTCTGCTTAAGCAGTGCTGATGTGCAATGGGAAAAAAAAAAAGTGACAATTCAGACTTGATCATATGGCCACTATTTAAGAAATAACAGCGAAGCAACTTCTCAGAGGGAGAAGTTCAAGCTGCCTGCTATTAGAAGTCTCCAAACCACAAAACTCTCCAATTAGCAACATAGTTAGCAAAAAACTTCTTTGCACTCAGATCCTTGGCACAAAAGTCTTGCTACACTCAAGCAAGTGCCAGACCATACAGTTTCAAAGGGCCTTGTCATCTGATCGGGTTTTGCAAAGCTTGAAGAACTTCCAACCGTAAACCTGAGGAGCATTTTTCTAATCAAACCATGACCTAGGAGCAGAGCAGAAACGGATTTACACCTGGTCATACTACCCGTATAAATTTTAATATTATGGGACAAATGTTCTTTTCAACCAGTTCTCTCTCTGCAAGCTTTCCTTGCTCTAAAGCGCCTCCAGATTTGCTAGAATAGGTCCCCCCACAATCCCAAGCCTTTTATACAACATTTCTCTAGGCCACCCTTCAGTCGCTTTTATTTTTTTGTATTAAAAGGTCTCAAGATTTTAGTCTCTGTGTATTTACATCTCTTCACATTGTATTCCAGACATTGGATTAGTTTATTTTTATCTTAATTTGCACAGCATGACAAAACAAGGGTTTCATAAAGGAAATGGCATATATGTACAAAAGTAATACAATTTAGCTAAGTAAATTTAACAGAAAATTATATGCATTCTTTTTTTTTAAAAGTCTTGCTGTTGAACTTTGCTGGCTTTTTTTAAAAAAGAGATTCTTTTAATTCAAAATAAATAAAAAGTAACCAAACCTGAATTAAATTATACAAAGGAAATAATGAGCAAAAAACGTTTCATTGGCATGGCAAGAATTCCCTCGTTAAAACGTTTCTTTGAACATCCACGAGTGCAGAGAGAAAACTAGCTTTTTGCAGTTAGAATTGTGCTTTGCATGAGCGACAGATTTTGTATTGTGATAGATCTCACCGCATGTCTCTCTCGATTTTGCTACTTCACTACAGAAGAGGTCATAATACAAATTTTAGCTGTCTGCCTGTTTTAAACCCCAAGAATCAGTGCAACCCTATTCCGCATCTTTGCTTTGAAAAAGCTGAAGCATCAAATAAAATTGTTCTCCAGGAAAAGCTGTCCTGTCCATCAATTTCTAGAAATCCTTTAAATAATAAAGAACAATTTAAAGCAATTTTAAATATTGCTTTTTTAGAAATGATATAGTTTGTCTCACCCTCCGTAGGATATGTAACACTCAGCGGCAGAAGCTTTTCTCTTTTTTAGTAATCCCCAACATCTGGCATTTAGAAATACCCAATTCTATTCAAACCAACAATACGTTTTGGAAGATTTTGTCTAATTCCTAGAGGTAAAGATAAATACCTTCCAAGAATTATTTATTTATTTTTATTTATTTATATTTCAAATTTAGTCATCGCCCATTTCATTCAATGAGTGACCCTGGGCGGTTTACAGTAAAAATTGTTAATTGTTACTGCTAATGTTTAAAGGGTTATTGTAAGCAAATAGGACTTGCACGAAATTTCTTTTCTTTGCTTAATCTAAAGAGGAATATGTAGAAAATTTAGTTTACAAAGAAGCCAAGAGAGACAATGCATTTCAACAGTTCCCAGTTTTGCTAAAAGGTGTCAGAAAAGCTGTCATGCAGAAGATGAAGGCCGCCGTGTTCCTGTTTCCTCAGAAGGCAGAAGTAGAATCAGAACAGATTTTGCCCAAACATAAATAACATTTTTAAGATGGAAAGAACAGCTTGACTTAAAATAGACAAACTATTTTAAGAGCAATGCATTCTCTGCCTAGGCATACAAAATTTGTCAGTTTTGCTTTCTCTCACAAATCATGTTTAATATTCCTCCTCTTTCCTGTTCGTTTTGTCTACATTCTTCTCAGAAAAAAACAATATGCGCATCCCCACTAGAGATTAAAAATACCATCATTGGCTTCTGTCTCCTTTTAAAATATATCAGCATCTTAACTATATGATGTCTAAGCCTGCTTTCTGTGCCCTGATGTCTTCTGGAGTTCTTGGATTAGAAATCCTTAACTAGGGCTTTTAATCTTTGGAATCCATCAACTTCTGGTAGTCACCATCTTGAGGAAGGCTGATCTAGCACAAAGATCTAAGATCCAGAAGTTCATCCTAGTTATGCAACTCAACTCTCTTGGACCCTGAAGTCTCTAATGGATTATCTGACATATAATGCTCTTTGATTATTCTGAGAAGCCCACTTTAGCTTTCCAAGGGTGGTATCCAACAGGGACTTCTTGAAACTGCTGGACAGAAAGAAAAAAATCACAGGGTCAAAACAACAGTTGAGGGTTGAAATGCAAAGAACCAATTCGTTTGCAAGATGGAGGGGCTGTATGTTCTGCTCAGAAATGATCCTCACTTGGGCAAGGATGTAGGGTATTCGAACCATATGGTAGGGGACGAAGCATATGATGAAGACAACCAAGACTACAAAAGTCTTTATTACAGCTCTGGTGCTCATCTTCTTACTGTGCTGCTGCGTTTTCTTTAAAGATACTGCATGGAGTCTGAGCGAGATTTTGCCATAGGAATAGAGAAAAAATAACAGCAAAAGGAAAAAAATGGTGACTGCTGTCATATTGAGTACGCCTCCAGTGTTGCTTCTGTACTTGAAATGGAAGCACTTGTGGCCACAGGGCCCAGCTTCACTGCTATTCAAAAGGAAGCACAGCATTGTGGCAATGCAGATCAGCCACACCACCCCAGAGATGGCAGTGCTGAATGGCACAGTGTGGATTCGGAACTGTTGAAGGGGCTTGATAATTTTGAAGTAGCGGTCCAGGCTGATCAAGCTGAGAAGGAAAATGCTGACATACATGGTGACATAGAAGATAACACCTATCATTTTGCAGAGAGCGGGAGGACCGCTGTGCTTCTGATAAGCCACCCGGAAGGGCAAACAGAGGGCAAGGAAGAGGTCAGCGATTGCAAGGTGTTTCATGTACACTGTGATGGAGTTTGTCTTCAGAGAGCCAAAACTGAACACCCAGAGGGCCAGGAAGTTGCTGATGAAACCAACGATGGCAATGATCGAGTACACTGCAGGCAGGGTCTCCGTAAGAAAGTCATCCTGGATTCCACATGTGGATTCATTAGATAGGTTGGATCCATTTCTGGGGTTCTCACCAAGAGAGGAACGGATACCCATACCTCTGTGGGAAAAGATATGGCAGAAATAATTAGGTGATTCCACAGATTTCTTGGTGGCCCATCATTGCCTAATAAACTTAGCCGGAATGAAACTCTACACTTGTTTCTTCTCTGGAAACCATTGCTCCCCCTCTTCCCAGGTTGCTTGGCTTTGTAAATTAATAGCTGTACCGAAAGCCATGAAGAGCCAATTTGGTGTAGTGGTTAAAGCACCAGGCTAGAAACTGGGAGATGGTGAGTTCTAGTCCCAACTAAGGCACGAAGCCAACTGACCCTGGGCCAGTTCCTCTTTCTCAGCCCTAGGAAGGAGGAGGCAAGGGCAAACCACTTCTGAAAAAACCTTGCCAAGAAAACTGCAGAGCCTAATGCAGGTAGTCACCAGGAGTCAAAACTGACTCAAAGGTGCACGCGCACGCACCCACACACACACAGGCCATGAAGACCTGGCTTTTCTCAGGCAGTGGGGCTAGGATATAAATGGAACTCAGCATGGTTGATAAGGTATTTGTTCCAGTTCCTTGACGTAGTTCTTTTATTTCATTTCTGTGTTATGTTTTTACCTTCTTCTTGTTCCCATGGTAGATGGGCACCCATATACATTTGTTAAATATTTAAATAAGGCACATTGCTGTCAATAGATTTAAAAAAGCTTGAGTTGCTGAAATAGCTGCCTTTTCTACAGGTAGTTCCCAGTTTAAGAACAAGTTCCATTCCCAAGGTCTGTCCTTAAGTCGAATTTGTACATAACCCAGAACAGTATTATTGTATAATACCGTATAAGTAGCATTGTGTAATGAACTCGAACCATTGTGTATTTAACTCAAACCATTGTATATTTAACTCAATTTTTGCTACAGTAAGCTCTGTTCTTAACTATGGATCGTCCTTAAACTGGGCGTTCTTAACTCAGGGACTACCTGTCTTTGAATGAACTGAACGTGTGTGTTAAAAAAAATCTCAGTATGTATTTTTGACATATTAAAAGGTGGTTTAACAAAAAAGAACAGAAGTGTCATTTCTTTGCCTTACGTCTGATTACCTAATGTCAAATTAACAGCACGAGATGTTCTTTAGTTGTCTTTAGCAGCCCAAGAAGAAGTTCCGTTATTACACTCTCCTTGATTTCCATTGGGTTCAGTAGGGCCTGTTTCTGAGCAGACTCAAATAGGAGGCACTGCTGAGAACTGTTTTAAAATACCTAAACAAGTCTGAGAGATGGGGCCAACTGCCAGCTGAGTTTTGGGAGATGGAGGTGACAGAGACATAACGAAAGTCTAGTTACAACTAGACATTCAAGTTTCAAGTTGGCCATATATGGAGTCACGTTGTAGTATGCCCACAAGAACATCTGTTAAATGTAATGTTCCTGTTTATTTATATATAAAGCTACTTGTAGGCCACCTATTCTATTTTTCTAGGTGGCTTACAAGGATAGCCAATTTTTTAAAAAATCTAAAATCAGCATAAAAACATAACCAGCATAATGGTGACACCAAGGCGAGTCCTCAATATTACTGTCTGTCTTATATTAGGTTCTGCGGAAGAACGCAGTTTTTGCTGCTCTCCAGAAGGAGATAATATGGAAGAAGCCACCCCAGGTTGACCTCAGGGGACAAGAGGGCTAAGATCAGGAAACCCATCAGTTAGGTCCCCCCACCTTCCTAATTTCCCCACAACATTCCCTGCCGACTTGCATGTATTGGCTGGGCAAATTCTACCTGGAATAGACAGTCTCAGAAGCAATTAAAACTGTTAGAGGTTCCACAAGCAAAGCCATACACTAATTTCATCAGGAAAAAAAACTAAAAAGCAGAACATTCAACAAAAATGGGAAGCCTATCTACTTGTGGGCTATCACATCATTGCACAAGTTCCTACTTTGCACTGCAAACTAATCGTAAAAAAGTTGAGGTCCCAACTTTCAAAAGTTCCCATTCTTGGAACTATCATTTTTTATCTTTAAATGCAAACAGCTTATCAGTGCAGTATGCGTGTGGTTGCTGGTTTCTTAGATGTCCATTATGTAGAGTTTGAAATGGTAGCATTAAACTAATCACTAGAAGCCCAGAGACTAAAATCACATCTGAACCCACTTCAGCCCTCCATCATCACCCCCCAAAAACCTCAGTGGCTCATGTCATCACATACCTTGGCTGCTCCATTCAGACGTTCACCCTGATGAGGACTGAGTTCACAGCTTGGCTTTCACGCTGCTTTTCAAAGTCTCTTCTGAGAATTTCTTAAAACATGTTCAGCCTGTGGAGCTCTAAAGCTCTGTCAGCAAAGATAAAGATGTGGTTGACTAGGTTACAGCGTATGAAAATTGACTCAGTTTTTACCACCAGATGAAGCTGCTGAGAAAGAACTTAAGGGAAATAGATTACTTTCTTTTTAAAGAAATAGGAAGAATGTAAGGCAGGGGGGTTAAACCCGTTGGTTTGGTTGTGGGAGGGTTTGAGGTTTTTTAAGCCTTATGGCCCTTGTATTCACATAGCCAAAAGGGTAACAGATGTGAGAGGTGACAATGAATAAAATTGGGACAGTGCAGTGTGACTTTATGCAGGACGGTGGTGTGCAGATTGGATGTTTGCTCTTTAGCTGGCCATTGAGAAATGTATGAATGTGAGAAATAAAGTTTATTATATATTTGTTGGTTTGGAGACAGCATACGATAGAGTGAATGGACTTGATTTACAGTATGGAATGCCGTGTGTGAAGATGGTGTTAAAGATTGGGCTTCTGAATGCAGTAAGAGAGAAATATGAAGAAATAAAACATGTGAGCATAAATGGAATGGTTGTCAAATGGTTCAACATTGTGCTAGGAGTGAAAGGATGTGGTGTCCATTGGTTGTTTAACATATTTATGGATAAACATTATAAGAAATGCTTGTGGCAATGTTAAAGTGTGGTTCAGGTATATGAATGTGTGCATACTTTTATACAGATCATGCCACGTTGATGGCTGAGCATCAGATAATATGCAGTGATTGATTGCATGGTGCAATAAGTGGCATGGATCTGAAAATTAATGTACCAAAGACCAAGTCAGTTCGGTTAGACTAAGAAAGTGGAATGAATAATGGCAAGCTAGATATAAATACCATAAAATCAAAGTGAAAGTACTTTATTTCTGTCACTGACCAGCCTTTAATGGCAAAAAAAATCCAAAACCCAACCACCTTAGAGTAAGTAGAATAATTGAAAGTGGTGGGGTGTGGGGGAAATGGATGGAGAAATTTTAAGACATGCAAATATGGATAGAAAAGGTCATGCATAATATTTGGTCTGAGGCAAGGAATGAATGTTCAAAAGCAGTAAAATGTCCGTGTATCAAAGCTTTGTTATCCAGAAGCGAGAGTTGGGTATGCTAGGAGAAATGGAAAAAGTTGAGTGCAGAGGGACTGGGGTACTTAAGAAGTGTGTGTGATAAAAAGAGATATGGGTGCTGAATGAATGTGGATCAAATACAAAAGTGAGTAACCAGTACAAATAAATATTTTGAAGTGATTTCATCATGCATAGAGAATGAATGAGGAATAAATTGTAAAAAAAAAATATGAAGGAAGAGTGAATGGGTCAAGAGGAAAATGAAAACTGAGAAAGTGTGAAAGTCATAGATTCATAGCTGGGTAGAGTTGATGAGATCTCCAAACAGAGAGAAGAGAGAGAAGAAAAGATAATGCTTGAAGCAGTGCATGGATGTGAGAGAAGAACTGTAATGCTTTCTAAGGACAGAAAGATATGGAGAGATACAGTGAATGGCGTTCATGCAAATGTTTCCTTTCCTTTTTCTTACCTCCCACCTTCCTTTGACTTACTATTTCTTACTCCTTCTGCAGTCTGCATCATGTTGCTTAATGGTACTGATGATGTTACCTAGTTGGGTAATGAAATGTCTGCAAGCAAACAACCAAGCTCAGAGAGCCCCAAGGACTCCTCAAGTTCCTTTATCCAAAAGAGGATGGGTATTGTATATGTATTTGAATTGTTGTTGTCAGTTTTTCTATATAGATCATTTAACACCATTCTGAGCCAATAGGAGCTACAGATTATTTTCAGTGGTACTCATAAACCATCTTCCTGAAGATCAATGAGCTTGCATTCCCACCCAGTTTTATATAAACTGACTTCCTGGGATGGGTTTTCATGATTTACTAAAATGTGAACGGTACTTGGCAGTTCAATATGTCACGTGAACTAGCCAACTTTCCTAGTCACTGCCAGTCTGGAAGAAGCCTTGGGAGCCATAGGCTTTCAGACACCTCTTTTACCAAGCAAGCAAATGGGTAACATTTTAGGGATATTAATGAAGCAACTTGTCTTCAGAACAAGTTGAACTTCTCAATATCACAAATGATTTGGAGGCATCTAACGTCCTTTATGAGGACACTGTGAAGACTGGAACATGTATGTACATCTGTTGAACTCCTTGGAGCAGTGTTTCTCAACTTTGGCAACTTGAAGATGTGTGGATTTCAATTCCCAGAATTCCCCAGCCAGCATGGCTGGCTGGGGAATTCTGGAAGCTGAAGTCCACACATCTTCAAGCTGCCAAGGCTGAGGAATGCTGCTTTGGAGATTGATATGGGAATAGAAACAAATGGGGAACAAATTGACATTCCTCCATGACTGAGGAAGTCATACAAATTCATGGAAAAGAGAGAAGTTCTTCAAACATTTCAGTTTCAGAAGGGATGTTTAGTTTCAGTTCCTAGTTCTTTTCTGCTCAGACACTATCTTTGGACAGGCTGGTGAAACAACAGCCGTGCCATAGGTAGGTTTTTTTATTTCTCCAGATGTTGCCTAGACTCATGTTCTGTCTTAAGCTAAACCCAGTGCAGCGACTAAATATGTAGATTCTTGACCAAAATATCTTAGGTATAAATGTCTTCTCTGCCACCACAACTGTGTGGGTCACCTGTTGCCCGTTATAAAGGATCCATTGGTGGCTAGAGTCCATTGGAGTTGGGCAGCTAATACATTCAAACAAGTAATAAAAATGATTTCCAGGGGAGGGGAGGGTTGAAATGGACCAGTAGGGATGCATATGGGGAGGGCAATGCCATACATTTTGGACTGGGGGTTAGGATTTTCAATTAATATAGATATTTTGAGTTGGGGAAGTTGGGGGGTGTCTCTCTTTCACTCTCTCTCTATATATATACGGAGATATGCTATCCATCTGTGTGTGTGAGAGAGAGGAAACTAGGCCATTGCTTTTCTGCAACTGCAGTCAGAGTTGGTTTTGGGAGCTGCAAAATAAAATTTAAAAAGAAAAAGGAATTTGAAGTGCTAATTGTGGGCAAGGTATTTCGAGTTGCTTCCTCTTGTTCTACAGGATGAAGGCAACTCAGAGGTAGCTATTTGAGAGACATTAAGGCTGGCCAACAGTCCGTGTGACCAAAGACGGTGCTTTGCAGTTTGATGGCTGCGTTCGCAGGATCTGCTAACTGGTGGCTTATGGAATTAACCCCCAAGTCTCAGTTGGCACAACACATTTTGGCCAGTGATTGCAAAGGATTTTATGTAGGTTTTTTATTTTGTTTTAATGTGGAGTTTTTACATAGGCAGATTTTGCATAGGCTTGACAGCTCATAAAACCAAGGACTGCTTTATAAATCCGCCCCCTTTGTAAAGATTGAAATAATGAGCAAACAACCGCCTATCCCTTCTCAGCCTAGAAAAGAGGAAATTCAAAACTTTGGATGGTTCCAGCAACTCAGACGCTGGGGTCACACAAAACACCATGTGTGAAAACCCAGCCATTGTCTTAGCACAGGGTTGCTCAACCTTGGCCACTTTAAGGTGGGTGGACTTCAACTCCCAGAATTCCCCAGCCAGCCTTGCTGAGCCTTGCTGGCTGGGGAATTCTGGGAGTTGAAGTCCACCCATCTTAAAGTGGCCAAAGTTGAGCCACCCTGTCTTAGCATATCTTGAGCCACATCATTATGTCAGGGAGTATTATTTGAATGGACACGGCCCCATTACGCAGACTCAACAAGCGTGTTTTATTAACCCAGGGTTAGGGTTTAGCAGGTTGTGTGACCGTGCACTTAGGCCACTGTTTGCAAAACGCGGCTTTCATTGCAAAGCGTGCGGTGCGAATCAGAGCCAATCGCGGCTCACGAAACAAATCAGGGCCTGCCTCAGCTCGCCCTCAAGGCCTATAGCCACACACCCCAACGACGAGAGCCTTCCCTCCCTTTAGGTTTAGCAGGTTGTGTGACCGTGCACTTAGGCCACTGTTTGCAAAACGCGGCTTTCATTGCAAAGCGTGCGGTGCGAATCAGAGCCAATCGCGGCTCACGAAACAAATCAGGGCCTGCCTCAGCTCGCCCTCAAGGCCTATAGCCACACACCCCAACGACGAGAGCCTTCCCTCCCTTTAGGTTTAGCAGGTTGTGTGACCGTGCACTTAGGCCACTGTTTGCAAAACGCGGCTTTCATTGCAAAGCGTGCGGTGCGAATCAGAGCCAATCGCGGCTCACGAAACAAATCAGGGCCTGCCTCAGCTCGCCCTCAAGGCCTATAGCCACACACCCCAACGACGAGAGCCTTCCCTCCCTTTAGATCAGCCAATCAGATCAGCTGCTCGGGCTGGGTTCATTTAGCCGCGCCTCCTTCCTTTCCACGTCCGGGCGCGTTTCTAAGGCGACGCG